TCTGATTTAAAGACATCAAATTCTCTCTACAGATTTCAGAAGGGGCTGGTGGGGCTGGGACCAACTGAAGAACCTGGGGACCCCAATGGCAGCATCCCTCTGAAAGCTCAGAGATACCTTTGCCATCAGATTTTTTTCTCCATTCTTCTGGTATAAACCAGGGGTGGTTCACATGTAAATCAAATAGCATCTCCAGCTTCTTCTTTCTGTAAAATAGAATGGGGAAGCAGAAGGTCCCCAGCGTTCACTGCTCATTTCTCTGCGGCCACATGTGCAGCACGTGCTGAGCACATGAGTGGGCAAGCACCTGAGGACACCAGCTAATGCCTGGTCACCTCTGAGGGCTCCAGAAGATTGAGCAGAAGATGCCAAAAGGAAACAATTTAAAGCGACTCATTTAATTAAAAACAAAACGTTGTTGTCAGTCTGACAATTGCAGTCTGCAGAGCTCCAGCAATTTTGGGGGGAAATTAACACAAGCTGTTAATAGGAACATCCAATTCCACTGGCGTCTTGGAGGAAACAGTGGTGAGGGGAAGGTAGGAAGTAATCTTCGGATGAAACAATTACCAATCAACTGCATGACAATCACAGAACATCACCATTCAGATGGGCAGACACACAAAGCTTAACAGAAAAAAGTAACTGAAGGCACAAAGAGCTTCCACCAACTCTGACGTCTTGCAAGATGCTCAAACCCAAAGCATGGTCTTAAGTGGCAATCCTAATTCCTGTTCCTCTTCTGGCTTTGCACAGGATGGGACTCAGTTTGCTTTCCCCCCACTGTTTGCAGGGCAGTGTTTGTCCTGGGGGAATTGATCCACATCTGCAGGAGGGCTGAAGCTGAAATGCAGGCAGCTTGGAGCAGAGCCCATCGCGAGGACAACGCTTGCCGAGCAGTGCCTCTACTCGCTGACCTCCATAAACCACCCGCTCCGTAGTTCAGCGAGGTTTCAGACAGAGGGATTACCACATCTCCTCTGGCACGCGTCTTGGAGGTGGGAAGGAGGTTGTGAATGCCCTGAGATGTCTTTGAAGCGACAGAAACCTGCTTTATGCCCTTTGCTTTATTTCCACTTATAAAACGAAGCCCTACAAGCCCCTAGCTAAATGTAGCTCTTGCTTCCTTCTGTACTCACTGGAGGATCTCACCTACCTCTCCCACTAAAGTATCCAGATACAAACATCCACCCACACCGTATATAATCTGTTCGCAGGCTGTAAAAACGGGAAGCTTTAATTGATACTATATTTCAAACTGTTGTGCAGCAAGGACATACTCCAGGCTGAGTCCTCCAGGGTATCCTTCTCCAGCCCTGCCTCCCCTGCAAGCCGCTCCCATCGCTGTACCTCTACTTTCTGAGTGATTACTTACAAAAAAGAAAAAAAAAACAACCAACCAAAAAAACCCCAACTATTGAGTGTTTGGAGCTGAGTGGCTCACATATACATAAGGGGTTTTATTGCTCACATGGAGCGGCTCTCTTTCCTTTCTTCCCCACTTCGACAGTACTAAAGGGTCCTCTAAATAATGCTTAGCATTTCCATATCCTCATAAAAGCCACTACAAGCCTTTCTATAAATCCGAGCCATCTCCACAATCAGAACGATGTCTTCTGCTCCATGCGGACAGAAGCTGCCCCAAAACATGATGCCCCGGAGCAGCAGAAGGGAGGTGATGATGCTCCAACCATTGCATCCTAAGAGAAGACATAGGGGTACTGACCCATTTCTGGGACCAGGAAGGCCCCCACCTGCCCCAGCAGCAAGGAGCACAGCAGCTTCTGCCAGGCTGGCCTGGATTTGGCCACCCTGCGAAACAAAGGCAGTGCCGCTGCACAAAATGGGGAGTAACCGCTCAGAGGGGACAGGAGCTGGGGAGACACCATCAAACAAATATCAAATCAAGAAAACAAATCAAAAAACATCAAATCAAAGCAAGAAAACTAACCAAGAAATAGAGAAATGAGGGCAATAGACATAGGCTGGTTATTAATACTGCTGCTTGGAATATATTCTCCTAGTCTTGCTGCCAGTTGGCTTCTGGTCCCAGTCCCTCCCCTCCCATTTCTCACTCTGTGACTCCAGCAGGCTCAGGAGCTTCTTTCTCTAACGCTGCTGCTCGCTGCAGAGGAAAGCTGTTTCCCTCCAAAGCTGGAAACATTTGGTGGGGTTTCTCCCCCCTCTCCTTTTCCTAACTTGTCTTTGGCTACTGGCGCACTGGAGCTGGCTGGTGTCTATTTAAAGTTTCCTTCAAATATGAGTTTTCATCTGCTAGGAGAGAGATTTCTTTAAGCCTCTGTCTTTGTTTTGCTTTTCCTGCAGAGGTGTTGGTAGCGGCTCTGCTTGAAGATTTTCCTTGGCTACTGGCATCTACTGAAACACAGCATTTCAAAAAAAGGAACAAGAGGGCACCCTTCCCTCGCACTGGAACATCTCCAGAGAATGCACCATCCCTGCCTTATCATCATGCGAAATACAAAAGAGAACAGCTCCAGAAACCAGACTATTTAAGTGCATAGCGGCATTTACAAGACATAGTGCACACCATCAGGTGCCACATGAGGAGATGGTTAAAGACTGACCAAAGCTCCCAGCCTCAGCCAGGCCAAAGACATCAGCTCCACCATCGCTTCACTTGCATGAGGATGCCCATGGCAACTCCCTTTTGCATCCACATGAAAAACAAGCTTAACTTCATTCAAGAGATCACTGAGGAGGAGCAAGTCCCCTGTCTTCCATCAGTGTAAGACTCTGGGAGCCAAGCCTCTGCAAACACAGTCAGCCCTGGTTTTCCTGGGTATTATTAAAATTTCCCAACCCAGCTCAGTTCTGCGATGTCTTTAAATGTTTTATAATATTTTGCTGCCAGTTGGGTGCTGCCTTGGGACTTGTTGTTATTCAAAAAGAAGAGACAACTTTAAGAGCTTTTCTCCTCCCAGGAAAGGGACTGTGCCACCACATAAAATGATGAGATTTCAGTAAAAGTGATAGCCACTGCAAAATGTCTTGGCTGCTTCTATGTGAGGAATTTGACTGTTTCTCATAAAAAATATTTTTAAAGTTTTTGCAGTTTGTAATTATATTTTACAGTTTCATTACAAAGCTCATTTTAATTCTTCTCCAAGCCGTTTTTACCAGTCCTCTTGCCACTTTCTCTTTAGAAAAGTCATTAAGTCAGGACTGGAGATCATCCCATTTCCCCCAGTTTCAAAGATATTAATCTGTTTTATTGGTATTTCATTGTCATTTCCATTCGAGTGTTCTCCGTATTTGCATAATTTGCCTTGCCACCCCCTTCCCGGTGACAAGCACAGGCTCGGCTTTCCACTTTAATTCTACAGAGTCACATTGCATTTTGGTTTATTTTCTTTTTTGAGAACACGCTGTCTTCCCTGGGCCAGAACTGCAGGCTGGGAGAATGCCTAGGTCCTGTCTCTATCACCACCTTCCTGGCTGATCTTCAGGTAGTACCAAAACCAGCTGTGAACTCCCTGTCCAAGTGATAGACTGGCCAGTGCCCATCTCAAAAGGACAGCAGTTGACACTGGACCAACCTCATTTCCCAAGTGAAAAATGTATTTTTGTTCCCCAGCTACTCAGAATAACAGTCTGTGAAGACTTCAAAATATTTGTGTGCAGCCCAGACAATCCTTGAACCCTTTTAGGAACAGGTCAAGGTATAGACAAGTCCCTTGTTTCAAGTTATGGCTTTTTCAGGTCTCCACTCCACTGATGCGCAGTCCCTCCAAGCTGAGACCACAAAGCAGACGCTCTCCTGCTCCTTCCTTTAAGGACCAAGGTTTGACCACTGGGACAGCCCATGTAGCCAGAGACTGGGTTGCAATTTCCAGAGTTAGAGGTGGCAAACAAGCATTCATAGAAATCATAGCAGAGGCAGCCTTGCACACCTGCACAGGAGCATCAACCCGCTGGCTGCACCCAGCACACATCCCATAAGCATCATTAGCTGAAGGCACAGAAGTGGTGTTAATGCAGCAGTAAGAGTCAGTAGTAGGGCTGGGGAGAACGCATGCTCTGTTAATTGCAGTGCATTTAACATCCTACAAATGCTTATCAAAGCCAAGACACCACTCTTAGCAGGGCTGAACCCCACTTCAAACCTTCCCCACCACAGGGTGATGGTTTAAGCCCGTCTCCATCACCCTCTGTACCGCTGCACCTCTTTAACTGCCAATTCCAATCCCAATCCCAATCCCTACATCCCAATATCCCCTTGGGGGGATTTGAATCCCCCTAAGAGCTGCCCTCCATCCCAGCCCATAAATTGTGAGGCTGTACCAGAGCTGGCCAAGCCAGGACACCCCAGCAGCCAGGAATGCACCGGCTCCATGCAGCACATTTGCGGCAGGGAAAAAGTGCCCCTTCTGCACAGACCGAGCAGTGAGACAAGTGCAGGAGCTGAAGAATTGGAACCGACTCAATAATGGGTCCTGTCTGCTGGAAGAAAATGAAATTTGCCCTCATGTTACCAAAAACTTGCACTCGACGCTCACTGCACATTATAAAGAAAAGGTCAGTGAAACAAAACACAAGGAGTGCAGTTGGAGAAAGCAATAAATAGTGACAGCAGCCCTCGTCTAATTTTTCAAAACATCTCTGCTTCTGCTTAGATCCTAGCAATTTCACTTGGCACTGCTGCAAGGGGCTGGGATGAGCAGCTTTGCTGCTGTAGGACAGGGGGACGTCTGCCTGTACAGGCTGATAAGGCTCGTCAGTGAGTTCAGAGGAAAGCAGGAATAGCCTATCCATCAGACACAATTAGTAGTGGTAGTAGTAATAACAATGATGATGATGATGATAATATATGATTGCGATTTCAGCCCCAGGCTTGCAGATGTGTTTTACTCCTCTGGAGAGGGGGATCCCTGCAGCCAAGCGCAGCCAAGCACAGCCAGGGCAATTCCCAAAGAAAGGGACCCCCATGTCCCAAACACACTTAGCGGAGCAGTGGGGTCCAAGTTCCCGGAGGGCCTTACCGTCTGCGATGAAGTGCTCGGGTACGTGAAGTGTCACCTTGACAGTCAGCGGGCAGGAGAGCTGGGAGCCGCACACGACGGCCAGGACGCAGGAGCTGACTGCAATCAGGGTCAGCGCTGTCTTGTTGATGGGGCTCTTCATTGAACCTGGAAGGCAGAGAAAAGGGTTGGTGGCCAAAAGGCAAAGCTGTACCAGGGGCTTGCTTGGCCTCCCCCTTTCCCTGTGTGAACGCAGTAGACCACAACTCTGGGGAAGGGCAGCATTGAAAACAAAGACGTCAGCTCAGTTCCCATCACGCCTTGTTAGGCTGGGTTTTAACATTCATGTTGTTTCACTCACTGAGTTACAGCTGTCTCAGGGACTATATTTTCCTAGAGAAGGGAGGAAAACTGCTCAGAGCCCTGTACAGACCCTGGCACTGTCCCTGGAAAACCCCCATCCCCAGAGCTGATCACCACCCTTGCCAGGCTCCCCCCGCAAAGCCACAGTCACTTCTCGTCAGCCTTGGTTTATTTGGCAAATCCAGTCAAATCTGAGGGTTGCCTGGATCGGGGCATTGCTTGCTTTCCCTTAATGCCAAGAGAAATCTACACCTGTAGATGTTACATAGCACCAAGAATCATTAATTATTTACAGAAATATAGATAAATAATCAGTCATCACAGGGAGACTACACTGAACAACAAAGCGACCTACAGAGCCAGCTGCTTTTGACAGGCAGGAGACACTACAAAACAAGCTTTATTTTGTCAGGCACAGAAGCTCATGGCATCTTCCACAAAGCAGTTCAGTATTTTCTGACACACAAAAGCCAGCCTCCAAACCAGGCCCTCACACTCGCAGACCCCCATCCCTCATCTCAAAGGCCACGTGCCAGACCTTAGGGCTAAGGGAAGCCTGCACTGAATAACAATCCCATGAGGCTGGGGGATCCCATCACCCCATGGCTCAGCTCAGACCTGTACATTCAACCAGTCTTGGTTGGTGGGTTCTAGTTTATTTGGATTTTTTTGTATGCATTAGAGAAAAGACAACAAGTCAAGGAGGAGCTCGAGCATGCACAGGTCTAGAGTGCCTAACAGCAGGTACAAACCCACTGGGAAACCCTCATGAAGCAGTGCAGCATTAAGATGACTGAATCACTGTCAACTACAGTTAGGTGGGACAGAGCAACCCCCAAACTCTGCAGGGAAGGAGGTGAAGCTGAGCAATAGAGCGATAGGGCGAGACCCAGATGCCCCAGAAGATTTGGATGCTTTTGTTGGGTACAGGCCAGGAGTGTTAACATGACCAGATGAGACACCCTGCACTGATGGACATGATCAGAAGAAACTGTCCCCTAGGCACTGCTACTCCTCAACAGATCCCTCAGTAAGAGAGCTGCCCTGGACATCATGGCTTGGGGCCCCACTGACCCCTCTGGAATCAGGGGCTGCTCCATCACTGCTCTGGCTGCATCACTTTCCCCACAGCCACCTAGCCCAACACCTCACACCAGCTAATGACAGACACCTCATGGAGCAGTCGGTCCCATTCTCCAGGGCTTGGGACACCACTTAAAACCTACTTCAAGGAGTATGGCATCGCCAAGGACAGGACATGGACCAGCGATTAACTCCAGCCACTGCACAGACTATTATGGCGTGGCTGAGATGACCAAGCTCCCAGCAGACCTGACCACATCCCTACTCAGGATTTAGGCGAGGACACTTATTTATTTTTGGAAGCCAATCCAGCCTCTCCCGCTTGCTCCCTGGCCCTCACCACCTCACCAGCAAGATGAGATTTAAAAAGCAGCAGTTTGAAAATTGAGCAGGAAATACAACCAGCAAGTTAGTACTTGCACACTCTGTAATAATTTGACTGAAGCCACTGTTGGAGATGCTGGTGCCAGGGCAGGGATCTCATGCTTGGGCTGAGCCCACAGCATCACCCATGTTTTCCAGGCAGGACACCATACTTCCTATAGCATCTCCTGCTGCAGGACAGAGCCTGCACAGTGGATGCTCCAACCAGCATTTACAGGACAAAAGAAGTGGCTGATCTGCTGGAAAATACCCCCATCATTGCAACCAACAGGAGACCGCAAATTGATTATTTATGAAGCATCTTTTACTTTCCATACGCATGCATCATCTGAACAGCCTTCCCACCCCTACTTCACAGCTTTATCGCCGATCTCCAGCGCCCTTCACCTTGTGATCTGCTTTTTTTCTTTCCCAATCTTTATTCATATCATCAGCATAAGTTAGCACCTCCTTGGGAGGCAAACTCATCCTCTCACTGGGCATACTGTGCCTGCCACAAACCTTGTGTTCAAATGGAGTTACTACACTAATGCAAACAGGAAAAAAAAAAGAAACAAGAAGGAAAAAAGCCTCCATCAGGATAATTGGACACTGTAAAGCACACAATAGACCAGAGAACACTGGATTTTTACCATTACAAATCACCTTTCAATCCAGGGTCTTAAAGTGCTTTGCAAACATTAAATCACAAATCCCTTCTGAGTTAGACGAGTATTATCCCCTGTTCACAAAGAGCCTGAATCACAGGTATGATGATGGCAGCTTTCACCATCTTGCAGTCAGAGCGCAGCTGGAGGAATCAGGATCCAGAAGCTCCCATCTCCATCAGTCCAAGCAGCTTCTTCTTTCCCCATGACTAAGAAGAGAGGGGCACAGAAGCTTGAAGCAGCAAAAATCCCATTTCAGCTCAATGAGTTTGAGCTTGGCTGCCCAAGGAAAGGGACAATGTGCTACAAGACTCCTATAATTACCTTTCCCGCTTCCCTGCCTCCCGCTTCCTGCTCATTTCCATCACAGCGCTAATTACTGACCTCTAATACTGCCTGACGTTGGCTTTGACCAACTGAACCAAAACAACAGGTCTTCTGCTTGAGCAGAAATTGGATTTCCAGCTCAGCTCTTTATTGCTCATGGCCAGTTTGCTGCCACATTTGATGGGGAGCTGTTGGAAAAGCAGGTCCTTCCCTTGTTCTCTAAAGGAGATGGCTCCTATTTTCCATCCCATCACCTGCTCTTCAGACCACAGATGCTCCAGCAGAAGCATTCCTGTGCTGCATCTAAACATCCATCTGGAGGTAAACAGCCTCAGGCCAGGCCTCTAAATCTACAAGGAAACGTATTCTTAGCAAGACACAGCTAATCAAACCAACCTCAACTGGTTCACTGGGGCTTCACACTCCTGCTCAAGAGGTGAGTTAAGATGACCAATTCCTTCCTTGGCCCAGAAGGTGTCCAAACTCACCTCTATAACTCAGGCAGTGCCATATAAACCACAACATCTCGAGATGCTGGAGACAGGAGCTCTGTCTGGGTGAAGCCTGTGCCTTCCCTCCTCTCCTCGTCATTTCCAGGCTTCCAGGGAGCACAGATCTGCAAACCCAAGTCCACTGAACAGGCGGGTATCAACCTCCTTGACTAAGAAGAGGAAGCTTGGGGGTGAATACAAGACCTTCATGGAATCAGGATGGGACTCAGGAGCCCCAAGAACCTCAGCACCCAATGCAAGTCTTCGTTCGAGTGTTGTGGGGTCCAAAAATCCCAAGAGGAAGGATGACGACCAGACACGGCTGACAACAAACTCACAATCCAGATTCCTTTGCCCTAATAAATCCTTCCTATATTGTAATGACCTCTCTATGCTTTTAATTAAACACATTTCTGTTGCATAGTGGGTGGTTGCAACAAAGCGAGTGGATGCCCGAGTGCTCACCCAGGCTGTTTTAGGGGGAAGGCGATAGCGTATCGGGGCTCCCAGCAGTGGCAGACCCAGGAAGCCTGCGCCCAAAGAGTGGGCAGGCAGCAGGCAGGACACACAACAAGGATGAAAAATAAGAAGAAATTACTTCTTCCTCAATGAGGAGAAATAACCTCTTCCCATAGCCTGCGAGAGTGAAGGAGAAGTAGAAAAGAAAGGCAAACCGCTCCCATTTAGGGTGGAATCGTACCTGAGACGCTTCCTGCTAGCGATCCAATTAACAGCAGCTTAATTAGATTGGAAGACAAGAGAAGCAGCCAGGCCCATGGTCAGGGGGGCTCCTGCCACAACCACCTCTCCCACTCAGGATTTTTCCCCCTTTAACATTGATGCCAATTAGCCCAGCTCCAGTCTGCCAAAGACGCAGGTCTCTCTGCAGACAGCTCAGGAACAGCTTGCAAAGCACCACATTCCCCTGAAGATTTTGCACCTGCTGCAAGATGAAGATAAATTCAAAGCCACTGGTGTAAACACTCTGCAAACAGCCCCTGCAAATGCACCGTGTCTCCTTTGAAATATCATTTCCTCATGCAGTTAATTACTCACTGCTTTGCACACTTTCCCTTGCTCACCTAAAGGACAAGGGGGGGAAGAAACAACCCAACAAAACTCTGAGCTCATTTCTTTTTAATATTGGCAGCACTGCCTAAATATAAGGAAAAAAAAAAAAGAGGCATGTTCAGAACACATATAAATTTACAAGCAACACAGATATCCGGTGCTCTCGGTAATATGATGTTTCTAAATCAGGCTCATAAATACATGCTTGGGAGATTAGTCTATAAAAAAATAAACTTTAATTACCCCGTCTTTATCAGCACACAGCCCATGGTGTTAGCCATATGTGGGTGTTAAACGCCAAGTGCTTTGCAATCTTCCCCGCCCCCCGGAGATAATAGCATAATACAGAATGTTTGGCGGCTACTCGGATATTAAAATGTATTTCCACCACCCGAGGAAGACGGGGATGGGGAAAGCGAGCGGGAGAACAGCGAGTGCCTGAACTGCTTAGCAACGCGCGGTGCAGCCACCGGCACCCGGCCGCCGTGCTGTGCCGCATGCAGAAGTGTCTGGTGCAGGGCGAGGGGCTTGTCCGGCACCCTCGGGGAGCAGTGAGCCCACTGCAGCCCGGCTCACAGCCCCGGCATCCCTCAACGCGCGCCGCTGCTGCTGCACGTTGGAGGAGTCGGCGCTCCTAATGATCCTGCTTTATGTTCCAGCAGAGGCTCATTAATGTGGTACAACGGCGTTTCCAGGACACCCTCACACACAGAAACATCTCAAGGTGTTTTACAAGCGGGAGCTCATGTCGAATCAAATCAAATGCCAATTAAGATGAGCAGCAGCATTGGCAGGCAGCTCT